CGCCAGGGAGCTGAGCCCACCCTTCACGCGCGGTGCGTCTGAGAGCGAGGCCAGGCTGCCCGCCTGCTTGCCGGGTTCATGTCTCCAGAGGACGTTTTTTTCTGGCTTCGGGGATGGGGTCGTCCAAGAAGGAGTCCCCTTCCTCTGGGCAGGGCAAGGCCCTGTCGGGCGAGCTGCTCGGGAGGGAGTGCGTGGCGGCCGCTCCGGCTCCTGGGCTCTGCGGAGGAGAAGCTCCTGTCTCTGGCTGGCCTCACTGGACTTCTTTTCACCAGACTTGTCCCTGCTTCCCTGCGCTTGACCTTGACCTTGATCTTGTCCTTTATACCTCGGAACCACATGCGAGCTCATTTTGCCCTCGGGTGATTTTGGTGGGGAATGTACATCAGACTGGTCCAGTGCACCCTCCCCACTGGGTGGCCCTTTCTTCTGCTGCTGGCAGCACCTGACCACTTCCAGTAACAGCGGGCGGCCCATGGTGCCTTCCGCCTGGATGATGCCCACATCGCGGGCCAAAGTCTCCCGGCCTTCAAGCCCAAAATGTGCTGGCTTCAGGTTGGAAAACAGCCAGGGTCAAGTCCAGGTTGAAAAACAAGAAATTCTGCCACCAGCACACTGTCTTTCGTGTTTAAAAACTTCTTCAGGCTCTCGTGGACCAAAGGAGCTTTGTTCTCTAGTTTTTCCTGCTCCTCCGTTGCTAGAAGCACAGCTGCTCAGACACAGCTGGGTGGACTAAAAGCTCCAACCTCTCGGTTAGCATCTGCAGAAGTTACATGCGCTCATGTCAACTTGAGGGTATCCAGAGTGGAAGGGCAGAGTCTAGCCTGTCAAGCAGGTCACAGCCTGGTGCCTCCTTGTGGGTGTGACCTTCTCATGAGGATTCTGGGGATTTCCTCTCTCCCAGAGGTGAGAACACACTCTCTTTGCTTTCACCTTCCCCTTGACAAGCCGCATGGAGCCACACTGTTGGCACCCAGAGCCCTGGAGATGGCGTCCACTGCCATTGGATCCACGGGACTTTTCATTCACCGGCCAGTGCTCTTCCTGCATTTGGCATCATTGCATGTGCTGCGTGAATCTGAAGAGGAATTCATGGGCTAATATCGAACTTATGGACTTGATCTGGATTGGGCTGGGATATTTTATTGATGCACAATTACTTCTTGATATAAAGTTCTCTCTTAGACATATAGGAGCATCTCTGGTTTTGTTTTTCTAGTCAATCCAGACTAACACAGCATCTGTGTGTATTAATCACTCAGATGATTCTCCCAGGGATTTTAAAGAGATCCATTACAGAACTTGTTTTATTTCAAAGTCTATTTTCTGGGGCTACTAGAGTACTAGAACAAGGCACAAAGGACTCATGAGAAGGCAGAGGGAGTGGGGGAATTAGGGCCAAACTACAGTATAGGTACTATCCTAAGAAGTTTGGACTACTCTATAGAAAACGGAGAAGGACATCATGCTTGGTACAGTGGAGGGGCAGAGGAAAGGAGGAAGTCCCCCAACACAATGGGTTGACCCAGTGGCTGCAACAGTGGACGGAGGCGTGGGAACAATTGCGAGGATGGCGCAGGACCGGGCAGTGTTGCGTTCTGTTGTGCACAGGGTCACTATGGGTTGGAATCAACTTGACATAGAAAATGGGGACGAAACGGTAAGGTTTTTAGTTGGTAAGAAACATAACCAGATCTGCGCTCTAGGAAGAGAACTTTGGTGCTGGAGTGAAGAGTCAGGGATGGGCAGTGGTGAAGCCAGTTTGGGGGCTGTTGATGGGGTTGGTACTCGGTCACGACTTAAATATAGCAAGTGAATGACAGAGAGGGGTCGGAGATGACTCACCTTTGGACCCTGCCTGGCTGCTTTGAGGCAAAAGCTGAGTTCTGTTTGGGACACATGGAGTACTGGAGCAGCTAGATGGGCCACTCTGGAGCTTGGGGAAGCTGTGGTGTTAGGAGCCACCTCTTTAAAGGGAGTGACATAAAGCCTTTCCTGTTTACAATGTTCAGCCTGCTAGGGTATCCAATTAGACAGGAAACATTATTCATAGACATAATTCAGAATGTCTCCAATAAAATGGATGTATGGGCCTATATGTAGATGGCCAGATCTGCAAGTTATTTTTTTCTAATTGAGGGCAGAGCAGATTATTTATTTATTTTTTTGGATTTTAGCGAATTTTATTATTTATTTATTTTTAAAAGATAATTTTATTGGGGGGACTCTTACAACTCTTATTACAATCCATACATCAGTTGTATCAGGCATATTTGTACATATGTTGCCATTGTTCTTTTCAAGACATTTACTTTCTATTGAGCCCTTGGTATCAGCTCCTCTCCCCACCCCCACCCCT